AGAAGGGAGACATATTTAAGATTACCCCCAATAATTAAATTTTAAACTTGGAAAATTATAGCAAATTTTTAATTTTCAGTGTCTGAAAGCTAATAATTAGGGGGGGTCATCTTAAATTCAAAGTCCTGGATTTGGATAACTATGGTTATTTGTTTGATAGATCAGCAGAATTTTGACTCTAGGTTGGTTGTCTGGATTTTATTCCCTGAGTGATTCTTTAATGGTGACAAAATATTATCTGACTGGTTGAGCATGTGTCTAACTTTGGTTACTGTACTAGGATAATCTGGCAGTATCCTTAACTGAAATGCATGAAGTGCAGTGTTAAGTACCCTGCCACTTCTATTTCTAGCACTGCATAGTAATGATACAGAACGATTTCAGGTTATGAAAGTCTCTGTAGGTTGTGCGTCCTTAGTGCACAGGCAAGGCAGTAATTAGGAACTGTGGACATTTTGCTTATATAATATTCACACATGCAGAAATAGAGTCCACAAAAACAACTGTACTTTAGCTTATTTCTTTAAAAATGTCCAGGAACCATCAAGTTTTGAACTGAACTGAACTGCCTAATTGTTAAGTTTTTCATGCTAGGGACTCTAGACATTTGGCAAGTGCATACTGCTGCAGCATGCCTGAGCTGATGTCTGTTGTGACCTAGTTCTGTCACTGAATTCTGCAGGCCATGAAAACGTAGAGCTGGAGATACTACTTCTGACAGTGGAACAACTACAGCGACTGTGGATGTTATATGCTCTGTGCAGTCATTCCATAATGATGGAGATTAAATTGACATGTTTATGAATTCTTTATTGCGGGCATTTCAGTTTCAAGAAATCATAGATCCTGGCACCAGGAAGTTAGATTGGTGTGTAATAATGGGAGCCAGCTGATGTGCAGGAGAGTTGACATGTTACTCCTGCAACAGTTAATCTCTTTGCCATTAATACACACTGATAGCTAGGGGCAGAATTTATACATCAACCGATTTAAGTGATCAGAAACAGGTTTAAACTTGTAACAGAACAGTTTAGTGCACATAAACCTTTTGAGTATCAAAATAGCCAAAACTGGTTTAAGATAAACCTGGTTGGAGGTAGCATTAGACTGAAGAGTAGCATAAAAATGTCTTTCTTTGCAAGCCTGTGGGTACACACACCCTTCTTCAGGCTGAAGAGAATTCAAAAAGTTGTAAAAGTTATCCTAGGTAGAAAGGAAACGTCATTTTGCAAAGCGAGGTAGAGGGTGGAAGTTTATTCCCTTGGGTACCTCAGAGTCTTGTTGTGTGAGGGTTGCTGTGATGTGCAGATTAGGCAGATTAAAGTACCCGTTTAATACGTGCCCACTCTCTGTCCCCCTCCAGACTTAATACGAGGCCTTTCCTGAAGGTGTCGCTGTTTTGATACTAGTCGTCCCCTCGGCTGAAGGGAAACTGCAGCTCTTCAGCCCCTCGCTCCCCGCTCCCATTCAGCCCAGGCCCAGCAGTGCCTCCTGCAGGCAGGCACCGGGCTTTTTTTTCCCTTCTCCCCCTTTCCCTGCACAACCCGAAACGGCCTTTGCTGCCTTGGTTTCTTTCCTCGGGACAGCCGCCCAGGCAGAGCTACAGGCTCAGCTCGAGTTTGTGGCATCGCTTCTCTTCTCCTGCCCCCCCTCCCCGTGGAAAGGTGGTATGGTCCGGGGAGGCGCTCCCCCTCCATGGCAGCCCGCCGCAGCGCGACTTTTGGGGCCTCGTGTCTCGCGGCAGTGACGCGCGCGGGCCGGAAGCGATTGTCCCAGCTCTCGCGAGAGCGGCAGCGGGGCGAGGTCTTCCCCGCTGGACTGCACCGCGGCCCAATAGGATGACGACGGTGGCGCTCCGGGCGTGGAGTCGAGGGCGGGACTTCCGGCTGAGCGGGGCCGGGCCGGGTTTAGA